ACAGAACAACTGGGTTTCAAGTTTTCTTATAGCAATGTGTATCATACTTTTAAAATTATGCCAAATTATATTAGACGTCGGAAAATTTTAGAAGAAGGAAGAATTTAAGCAGCGTTTGCCGTCGATCCAATCCCCAGGTTTCGAGCAACTTTTCATAAGTTTTAATTACATGCTTCAGAGAGCCCCATATTCAAGATCAGTGTATCGAACCTGCAACATGCATATCAAAGCGAATTTTTTAGTAAATTTAGTGCAAAAACCTGGAGTTGACACCTTTGTTCAATCGGAATCCAATAGAAATGGCCTTCATTTGCCATTGGCATCAGCAGCAGCTGTTCCGGATCCATATTGTACACGCCCGATTGTTTTAAACGGTTACTTTAGCTAAGAACTTTCGGCCAATTAGCCATTTCATATTTTTACAGTTTGATGTTCGTTCTAATTGAACGATTAGCGTTTTAACTACGAAAGAGTCGGCAAAGTCGGCTGCTAACAATTAAGCGCCGAATTCAGGCAAAGGTGAGCGAACGTCTTTAATTAATGGTGAGGGCAAGTCCGCCCTTTTGCATTCAAAGCGGTTCGATCGATAGATGGGCACCAGGACGTCCAGGACGTTCAGGACGCTGAGGTCAAAGGACAATCGCCCCCATCTGTGACTGATTGAAATGCATTCTCACCGCGTGCCAAATGCTAATGTTCGCCGATTGTCCAGCTCGTTTAATTCCGGCCGTGATTGGCCATCGTGGGCCTCGGCTGCCGGTGGCAAAAAACTCCCTCAGCCATTGGCTGGCGCTCAAGCGCAAGGCCCACTAAACAATCAGTCAGGCCAAAGTTTCCTTATTAACGGCAATAAATAGTGTGCGGACTTTGCAAAAGTGCCCTTTATTTCCATCGGGCTCCTTTTGCATATTCCTGCAGTTTTATCGAAAGAGGGCGTCATAAAAGCGTATTGCCCTTAAGTTTCAGACTTCGGACTTTTGCTCTTAGTTGCCAGTGGCGTGCGGGAAACACAAAATATTCAAGGGAAAAAACCGGCGTTTTTTGGAGTTTTACTGGTTTAGTTGCTGTTATTAACTGGTTAGTAGTTTCAAAAGCGACAAAGCTAAGCAAAGCGAGTTTTGGCAACCTCAGAAGTTTTGAAACGGATCATGAGTTGTAAGTGGTTTATTAATATAACGCGCAAATTAAAGCAACGAAAATGAGTCACTGCGCCGGTGCGTTGGGTTGGCGCACCAACCAATTCGCGCAGCACTGCGCCAACTCCCAGAAATTCACTGAGTGGCCCTAATCATCGGTACTCAACTGATGACGGACTGATTTAATTAGCACTTGTTTGCAACTGAAGAGTTGCGTTGCCGCACGTCTATGTGCATCTGCAGGATTATGGGCAGCGAAATGGCCATCCGGTGTCATTCACTAAAAGCAAAGACACTCGGATCCCAATCAGCACTTTCGTTATTGGGTGTTTTCGCGGTCCGAAATGACCGTTGCGGACACAGCTCGATGCCTCGAAATGAGATCGGGCAGATGGCCCAGATGTAAAATATCCCTTAAACAAAGTATTTTACGAAGTTTTCGCCAAGTGGAAATCACAAAAGCAGCCCAACCGGCAGCCTTCTCGTTCCTTTGTACCGCCTAATTAAAACAAAAGTTGATATCCGAGGGATGGAGCCGTCCTTGCGATTGTTTTTTGTGATAGATTGCTTTGTCTGTATTGTGTGCATAGTTTTGATTGTTTTTCGTCGGTTGAAAGGTGAATTTATAACCGTCACTTGGTGCTGATTTCTATATCGGGTCTGGGAGCCCGTCGCTTTGTGTGCACCCGACGTAATTTATCGGCAAAACTTCATTAATAATAACGGTTTTTCCGGTTGAATTTCAACTTTCCAGCAACTTTCCTTATTGGGAAAAGGTGCCACTGCTGCGTCTCAGCTAATTGAAGCCCATTTCTGCCAGGCAGCACATTTTTTTGGCACTTCGGCCCATCTTCGCCTTCGGCAATAATCACGGAGCGTCGGAGGTTTGCATCAATTAAAGCGGGATTTCTTGCGATTTTTCCGATGTTTGTTTGAATAGTCGCGTAAAACGCGTCGCATTATCCGACTAAAGCTCGACGGCCTCATTCCCCTTTCCAGAGCGTTATCAGCTGGAAACAGTGTGGACGCTGTCAGCAGGACAACTTACGTCCTGTCTGCAACTCACGGATTTCCTGCAGGCGGGCGCGATTTGGAGGAGAGCGGGATTTGGCCGACGAATTAGCTGCAATCCTGAAGCAAAACTCACTTTATTCTTCGGGTTAATGGGGAACTTGAACATTTTTTGAAGTGATAACTTTTTATGGGAGGGTGAGCCGATTTTTCTCGGTTGAGGCTTAGGACGCACATATGCACTTTTAGTGCGGGTGTATCTGTAGATCTGATAAACTTTTCAAATACACATTGCGTTATTAAACTGGCGGTGATTTTGATTTATCAATTATTGAGTGTGATATTATTGTGTTCGGTGCAGTTTATTTTATAACGCTGATACCAACGAATCAACAAATTATCAAGGGAGAAGCCGCAGATACTGCAAATACTAGGTTAGGGTGCTCATGTACTAAATGCCTA